CTTCTTACCGACACGGTTAACCGATGATGATGATGACGAGGGCCTCGTTCCGCTATCCTCCAGCTGCTTCCCATCACCACCACCAGCAGCAGCGGCATCAGCCATACCAGCACCACCACTATCACCACCACCACCAGCACCACCACCACCAGCCGTAATGAGGACAACCCGGAGACGGGAAGTGGCGGTGCAGGTAGCGGCGGCAGTGGAGGTGGAGGTGGAGGTGGAGGTGGTGGGGATGGCAAGGACGGCTCTGCAGTGGGCACCCCGCTTGGAGGCGGTGATGGTGATGGTGATGGACTGCAGGCCGCGGTGGGGGCAGTGGCGGCTGGAGATGGCACGAAAGGCACTGATGCCAATGATCGCCGCGACACCGACAACGAGGATGGTGATGAGGATAGGGATGGAGGTCGGTCTGCTGGTGGTGGTGGTGGTGGTGGTGGTGGTGATAGTGGTGGTGCTGGTATGGCTGATGCCGCTGCTGCTGGTGGTGGTGATGGGAAGCAGCTGGAGGATAGCGGAACGAGGCCCTCGTCATCATCATCATCGGTTAACCGTGTCGGTAAGAAGGGTGGGGCAGTCACACCGGCCAAGGTGGCTCTGGCCGCTGCTCTGGGGCTGCCGGTGGTGGACCGCTCCGTGCTCCGGAAGCTGGCTGAGGAGGGGCTGCTCTCGCCTGCAGATGAGATGAGGGCCTTTATGGCCCGGCTTGTACGGCAAGCAGAACAGCTCTTGAAGGATGAGGAGTACGACAGTGATGATGTCCGAGCTCCCAAGCATATCTCGGATGAAGACAGCGATTGAGAAAGACGTTGCCAGGGGGTGACGGTGGTGGTGACGAGCTTTAAGCAGTACCGTCCTATCTAATTGCCAAGGACGAGTATATTGCCTCACATGTACGTGTGTGTCTGGATGGCTAGGTCCTCCTCCTCCCGCAATGGGGAAAAGCTCCTTTTTGCACTGCCTACTTGCTTTTTAGCTGTCGGTGGCGATAACGCTGCTGCAGCTGCTGTAACTGTGATGATGACGATGACGATGATGATGATGATGATGATGATGACGATGATGATGATGATGGTGATGATAAATGGAAAGTTTAGTTTCTATGTGTGTGTGAAGTGCAATGCTGCGATTGCACACACATACGTGGCACTGGCACTGGCGCACCACCTGCCGGGTTGAGGTGCACAGTGCTCCTTCATTGCCATGTGGCTTGATGAGCTTCTCCCAGCTCCAGGGTTGAATTGGAGCTACCCCCTGCATGCGCGTGCTCCTGTGTGTGTGATTGTGTGTGTGATTGTGTGAAGATGCTTGGGGGAACGTGGGCTGGTGTGCAATGAAACAGGTTTGCGTATTTCCCAACACGGAAGGATGACACCACTAAATGCGGTCGATGGTTATGGTGACGCTCAAAAAGTGTTGCCACAAGCCAGTTCCATGGTGAGTGGTCCTTTTGTTTGGATTTGGTCTTGGTTGGCGGTTGGTCTTCCGAAATGGTGTATCTGCACCCGCCCCGCCCCGCCCCACCCCGCCCCACCCTTGAGTGGTCCTGCTGCTAAAAAGGGTCGGGGGAGCAGCACCCATCACACATAGCCGCATGATCCGCCCTCATGCCGTACGGGCAATCCATGCATGCCGCCCTGTTGTACACCTCTTTCTGTATCCTGCACTGGTTCAAAGTTCATCCAATAGAGTACCTCTGCTTGTATCGTGTCACCATTATAGGCTGTGTGTGTGCTTGGATGTGAATAGCTAGGTAAAAGGTGATGCTTCTTCTTGCTATACGTAAAATTTATATTATATTAAATCCCTAATAGGAACAAAATCAACGGGCCATGGTTGGCCCAATGTTATCAATGTCGGTTAGTTGGCGGTTATATCACGATGAAGGAATGGCCACCGCTGCTGCCGTGCAACCGCCAATTTGCGCTTGCTGGTTTTGACCATGGTGGAATGTCGTACATGGAAGAGATCGGTGCTTTAAATCATGACCGAGGAATGGTGCCGGTTGTCAAAGTGTTTTTTCACTCGTGCGTGTGTGTGTGGGTGTGTGTATATGGCAGTCAAACTTGATCTATTGCTCGGTTTTGATTGACAGCTACACAGGTGCACTTGCCCACCCGTAGATAGCATGCATCCATCCCTTCCCCTCCCTTGCCCTACTCCATCTCCCTCACCATTCCCCCTCACCCCTCCTCCTGATGATTACTTACCCATATACACACACACGCTGTACGGATGAGTCCGAGCCACTAGGTAGTCTTGTTTTCTTAATCTCACCCAACTCCCCGCGAGATTGCTGCTTGCTTGTGCGGCAGGCAGTAGTAGCGGGGGACAGAGGACACTACCGCTGGCATGGATGGTGGCTCATCAGGGAGCCAGCAGTGGCAGCATATGAACTCTTGTTATATTTGTAAATGCCACACGTGTGTGTAACGGTTACACGGATCTGATCTGACCGGGCCTGACACCTGCTGGCCAGGCCCTGCTGCCCAGCCCCAATGGAGACCGCCTAAGCTGTCTCCCGCGGACAGGAGAAGGGCGCGAGGGGCCTCTGCCCCCTTCCTTCTAAGCAACCGGGAACCGCAGGTTGGCTAGCTCCACTCTCCCCCAACCAAGGGCCCCCTGCAAACAGTGCGCCATGGTGCCCGTTCTTCCTACCCTCTGTGCCTACTAAGAGGTTTTCCACAAGGTATTTAGACACAGTAGGCATGGAGTTCAGCTGCTTCTATAGTTTCCAACAAACAGCTTCCAGGCTGGCGTGCCAGCTGAGCGGCTGCTCCTGTCGCTGCACATTCTACAATCAGTCTGTGAGCCGACGGGTTCATCAACTTTGCCACTAGGAATGGCTCCCTACTGCGGTGCAAAGCCGAATGTGAGGGTCAATTCCACGGCATAGAGCAGCCTCTAGCTAACGCGGAGTGAAGAATGGGGTTACAACTGAAACAGACCGTTGTTAGGCTGGCATAAGTCTATCTGTGTTCGGGTATCTCCGGGGAACCAAAGTGTAATTGAATTATATAGAAATTGGCTATCATATAAAATTGAGCGGCACTTCTGCGGTTTAATAGCGTAGTGAATAGATTCGGCACATCAGCAGGTACCGGTTGTTGAAAGCAAGGCCAACTTGCAGCTAATTTCCATGGTTATAGTAAAATGCAATATATCATTCATCTGCAGGATAACCTGTCGCACGGAATCATGAAGATGGGCAAGCTTGACTAATCCTGGAAAACGCTTGAGACGATTGAAACGTGAAAAGCCAAGAGGGATAAACAAAAAAACATGGGCGTTGATACGTTATAAATAGCCCCTTTCCGCCGATGCTGATGCCAGCGCTTGGCCCACGGGTCCTGCCGTATCCGATAAGAGTACGATAGCATTTGCTCTTTATTCCTCGGCGCGCAACACTGGTTTGTATAGTGCTTTTTCAACCAGGTCTGTCAGCGTTGCGGTTGGAGGAATCGTAGTGTGACAGTCACGTCGCGCGAACAGAGCTAACTGATTATTCTCAAGCGATTTCGTGGCCTAAAAGATTGTTTATACCGCTCGGTGTTCAGCAATGATACAATTCGGCAACACCCAGGTGACGCTTTCCCAACCTCCTCGCTTGTTATGGGCGTACAACAAACGCGCTAAGACCGGCCAAGCTCACTTCTCCGGTGCGGATAACACCCGGAAGACAGGATTGTGATTAAGGCGGTTGAATGCTGTTGCGCATCTTCTGACATGCTCCAGGTCTCGCAACTCGACACCAACTACCTGAGCTCGTGCATCATTGGCGTCGACGTTGCAACACGATTAGCGTAATCAAGCCGTCATCATCAATCCTTAATCTCCATTATTATACATAGCCAAGTATACGTAGCTATGCACCATATCATTTTATCGAGAAATTCTTGGGACTCATCCCCTCCTGCGTTGGCCCGCTGCACCCTCAACCCCCGACTTCCTCATAGGCCCGCCACGATTCGAATGCCGTCAGTCGCTGCGGCTTCATCGCGCCCATGCTCCGACGTACCTCCCCACCATGGCAGCTTTTCCATCTGCTGCTGTGGACCCTGTGACCGGCCAGGCAGGACCCACAAGCAGGTGTGATCACATAGCCGTATAGGATCTTGGAATCGTTCTCCGTCCCCTCCACTCGCCTCCCGCCTACCCCTTCCACCTCCTATCCATCTCCGCCATGCCACCCCAATCAATAACCCTGTTCTCTGTTCACCTCACTCTGGTGATGACATCAGTGGTGGTAGAGAGGTGGTGGTGGTAGAGAGGTGGTGGTGATGAAGCTGCTATTTCTCACGGGCGTGCAGTCGGCATCCACCCAGCACTGGCAACCCTAGTGGGGCTGAGTGACCGCCTGGCAGCAACAGCAGCTTCACCAGAACTGGGGCAGGGTGGGGAGGAGGTGAAAGGGTTACCTGGGCCCCCAAGCACACCCTAACGCATTGGCTTGAAGGATACCCCGTTCTTCATCCACCTACGTACTCTGCTGCCCTGACCTCAGCAGCCTATGTTGGTGTATTTCTCACACAATCACGTAGACGCATTTAAAAACTCTTGACCCCCCTGTCATCCCCTCTCTACTGGACGACCCATCTATCTTTGGTATCTGCTCCATTCGCCAGTGTTTCATCTTATCCCCCCTTTCCCACCCCTTCATCCTGCTCTCTCCCCCCCCCTTCGCCACTCCTCCCCCGGGGGTTGCAGGTCCATACAAAACCCCCAGGTCTTCACACTCGCCCCGCAACTGCTAGCTGCATCACCCTTTCCTGACTGCCCCCATGGAGCCACACTCATGTCCGAGGCGGGCCGGGAGGTGTCGTTCAAAGTTTGGGCCCCTCATGCGGCCTCGGTATCACTGCTGCTGCAGGTGGGTTGGTGCATGGTGGGTCTAATTGCGTGGTACCGCATTGTACTGCATCAGGAAAATCAGTTCTGTGATGTATTTATTTCTCTGGCTGTTATGTCTGGTTTCATGGCCCAAGGGTTGAGTAGGAGTGGGTGTGCACCCGAGCACCGCGGGGTGGTGGTGGTGGTGCGCTGTTGTGGGGACCCAAGATGGGC